ACACTTGTTAAAATTGATTGAAGGTGCCAAATCCCTTTAAAATCAGCTTTTCTTCTTCTGGTCTAAGACTCTTACATTTAGTCTTGTGGTAGTGTGATGGTATCTCCCCCATTTCACAAGTGGAAATGCACTTTCTGTCTTTTTAGTACTTGACTGATAAAATTCTCATAACACTCAGGGTAAGGAGGCTTACTTAACACCTTTTGAATAACAAATGGGGAGCCTGCCTTACCTGCAACCCTTAAAAAAAACTTTGCTCAAATGGAAAAAAATGTGGTCCACAATACAGGTAGACCTCAGGTTACAACCATTCGTTCAGCAACCATTCAAAGTTACAACGGTGCTGAACAAATGGTACTTACAACCAGTCCTCAGAGTTATGGCCCTTGCAGTGTCCCCTTGGTCATATGATTGTGATCCGAGCACCTGGCTTGTGATTGTGACATCGCAGCAAGCCACAGTCATGTGATCATGATTTCCAATGTTCTCCTGTTCTGATGATCTGCTGGCTTCCCACAAGCAAAGTCACTGGGGAAGTCGGCAGGAGATCAGAAGTTGCAATCATGTGAGGTCCTCGCTTAACAACCCATGCGGTCCTTGCTTAACAACAGTAACCAGGATTGCTGGAATTGCTGTCTCATCACATTGTGCTTACGACGGCATCGCTTAGCAATGGAAATTCTGGTCCCAATTGCCATTGTAACTACCTGTAGCTCTGTTGAGGAACTTTTGCTAGGTTCACACTATAATAAGGTTGGGTTTGGGTTTAATGTTATGTGTGAATTAGAAACAAGAGTGTAGAGCTTCGAATTGTATGACCTGATTTCGTAGTATACCAAGTTAGTTTGTTTAGCCAGCATTTCTTGACTAAGCCACAGTGCCTGAGTTCACAGAGCATGCTAAGCCAAAACCTAGCAAAACAACACACCGTAGGGTTGTAACCATAATGTGAAGCAGGTCACAATGTTAATCAGATCCTAATTAACACAAACCATGGCTTAGCATGTGTGAACTTAACCTACATTATACAAGACACTCTGTTTCCTGCCTCCAAAGGCCATTAGAGCATCCACGTTCCTTGCTTTGGAAACCTCCTATAAATTAATTAACGCTGAGAATTGTGTTAGTCTTTTGGTTTCCTTATCCTCTTTGTTTCCTTTCCCCCTGCAGAAGCACTGGAGAATTTCTTCTCTGAACTGGCACAGCACTTGTTTTTGCATGTTAAAAGAAAAAGAGAGTGGTTGTCTTGTAATGTGCTCACCCGGTGACACTTTGTACAGTTTCAAAACGGCTTGATTCTCCTGAGGCAACTGGAGGTTAGCAGTGAGTTGCACAGGTGGAAGAGTTTCATCTCAGGACTCTCGAGGTCGTGAAGAGTTCTGTGAAGAAGGCCGGAAAGCGCTGTATACTTCTTAAAAAGATAAAACTTTGGTAGTAATTGTTACAATATCTACAGCAGCATCTTCATGTTGTCTCTGGAAAATGGTGCTAATTCAAAGAAAGAAATGTCTATGGGAAACTAATATTTGTCTATACGTGTCTATGGAAAACTAATAGCTGCTGGAGCTCAGCCAAATTTTAACTGGATTGCTCTTGGAACTTTTTTTCATTTTTTCAGAAAAGGCATTTTAACCAGCCTGTTTAGTCACCACTGTGAAACAATCTCAGAATGAAACAAGCTACTTTAATAAAGTGTTCTAAGAGTGGCCAAAAGACTGCAGTCTATCTGATCTTTAAAATATTTCTTTCACACCATTGAAGGGTGTGTATATTCTTTTAA